ACCCCCCGCGGCGCCCCCGGGGCCCGCCCCGGGAGTTGGGTGGGAGCCGGCGACCCCCAGAGGGGACAGACCCCTGCCCCATTCCCTGCCCCCCTGAGCCATCCAGGCCCTGTGATTGGGCCCTGACACCTGTGGAGCCGGAAGGGGGGTAGCGAAGGGGGGAGGGATGCACTCACCTTCCCAAACCAGCCGTTGCCGATCTCCTGCAGGTAGCTGAGGTGCTGCCGGCTCAGGCCCATGTGTTTCACCAGGTCTGGAAAGCGACACAGGAGGTGAGGTAGGAGCTGAACCCTGTGAGTCCCTTCGCCGGGAGCTCTTGTGATGGCCCCCTACGAATCCCTCCTCCCAGCAGGAAAGAGCCTTGGGATCCCCCTTCAGGGCTCCCCCCGCCGCGGGACTGTGCCATCAGCTCATTCGCAATGCGGTTTCCAGAGTCACTGGCTGGGGCAGGGCATTCCTCATTGGGTCATCTAGAACATGGCTGTTAACAGCGGAGCCACCTTGATGGCTAGTCTAGAACACAGTTGTTTCACCAGCCTTTGTTTGGAACCTCGCTGGTCTAGAATTGGGTTGCAGGAGTCATTCAAGCTCCAAACATTTTCCCTACGAACACCGCAGTGTCCCCCAGTGATCTAGACCCAGAGCTGTTGCTGTCCAGAACACGGGAGTCCAGAACACTACTTGCCTGCAAGGAGATTTCTAGAGTTTCTGCATCCAGGGTAGCTCAACAAGAACATTGTTAATCTTAACCCTCTTTTCCCGGGTCATTGATTCCACGTTTGGTGTGTCTAGGGCAGTGTTTCTTAAACTTTTTAAGATGGAGGAACACCAAACAATAATTTTTTTTATGAGGAACACCAAGAAAAAAAGAATCCGAGGAAAAGTTATTGAGCAAAAAAGAAAAAGAAAAATAGGGTCGGGGGGGGGGGGGGGGGTTATTGAGGGAGAAAAAAAAAGTCGCCTATCCCTTTAAGGGTGGCCATTTTGAATTCTGTTGTTCTCACGGCATATCTCCGACTGCCTCATGGCACACCGGTGTGCCATAGACACAGTTTAAGAAATGCTGGTCTAGGGTCTGCTTTATAGTGCTGATTCCTGCTTCGTTGGTTGGTCTTTTACAGCCTATTTTCTTGATTTGCTGCATTAACGCTGGCTACTCTAGAGTTTAGCCTCCAGCTACTGAATCTCACTGGTTAGCAGAGAATGTGGTTACCAGAGTCTCTGTCCTCTGGCTGGCTAGCCTAGAACACAGCTCTGTGGTCTTTTGTCCTATCTACTAATCCAGAATGTGGTATCTAATCCCACTGTGTCCAGATGCTAATTCAAGGCTACAAACATCTCAGCCCCTTTCTCTGGTCTAGTTTGGACCTAATTAATCATCAGTGCTTGATCTAGATCTTGATTTCTAGAGTCTGTTTAGAGACTATTTGAAGACCGGCCCTGTGGCTAAACTCTCACTGGGTATCTTAGACCCTTATGTCCAGAGCCACTCCAACCCTGTTCACCCGGAAACAGAGTCAGTCCATCTCTACTGACCATGTTGAGTACTCTAGAACCAGAGGTTCTTCATCCCCATTGATTCCCTGAAAACAAGAGTCACCGTACCCTAGTTGAGTAGTCTAGAATCAACGCCTCCCTGTGGACTAGCTTAGAATCAGCACCACCATTTCCAATGGCTAGACTAGAACCAGCGCCTCCCCATGGACTAGTTTAGAACCGGCGCCTCCATTCCCAATTACTAATCTAGAACCAGAGCCCCCACTACCATAGGCTAGGTTAGAACCCGAACTACCCCTTGTCCATTGAACCAAGGCCTCCCTGTGCACTAGCTTAGAACGAGTACCACCATTTCCAATGACGAGTCTAGAACCAGAGACTTCCCATAGACTTGCTTAGAGCTAGCCACCATTCCCAATGACTAGTCTAGAACTAGAGCTTGCCCGCTGTCATAGACTTGTCCAGAAACCAGAACTTCCCCTTGCCCATTGACTAAGAACCAGGGTCACTCTGTCCCCATTGAGTAGCCTAGAACCAAGCTTCCACAGTCCATTCCCATTGCACAACCTAGAATCTGATTTTCCAATCCACCCTGTACCCACAGTCCAAGCATGTGTCAGCCCCAGCTGGGAGACTAGCACATCCCCTACCTGTCTTGGGCATCTGCTGGTTGGTAGCAGGGAGGGAGACCTCGGAGAGCGGCAGGATGTAGACATCTGGGATGGACTGGGAGGATGAGGTCTCCTCAGCGGGTGGCGTGTACTCCCCCGAATACTCCTCCCCATCCGGGTTCTCAAACTCCTACAAGGCAGCGATGGAGAAGGACACATGAGGACCAGGGGACCTTGTGTCTCTCTACTTGCTTGCACCATTCGCCAGACACACTGTCTCACATACCCCCCGTGTCACACAGAGGCCTTGTCACACATCCGTGCCCCTCCCCCACAGTGCCACACATGATGTCACACAGAGGCATTGTCACACACAAGTCTCGGGAGGCCTTTCTTCGGCTCAGAATGGGAGTGTTCTAGGTTATGTGGCTTTCCCTTTAAAGGGCCAGCGCGCCGTGCGCCACCCAGCCACGCTTCTCCCCAGCCCCCGAAGTCTTTCACCTTGAAGCCGACATCGCCCCGTTTGCAGCACAGGCAGGTGAGGAGGAGGAAGACAAAGGCCAGGAGACCCGAACAGGAGATCAAGACCACAGCATAGGGAGGGGCCAGAGGGAACCGGCCTTGGGACAGCCCGTCTGTGGGAGAGAGAAATGTGAGCAAGAAATCACCGGGTGTGGAGATGCAGCCCCTCTGGGGTGGAGCACGGGGGCTGGTTATGTGGGAATCCCTTGCCCAGCACGGAGACACATACTCTCTGGGGTGGGGCATGGCAGTTCATTATACAGGGATCCCTTTCTCATTGCTCAGATGCAGCCACCTCTGGGGTGGGGCATGGGGGCTGGTTGCAGAGGGATCCCTCACCCAGCGCTGAGACGTGACAACCTCTGGGCTGAGGCCCAGGGGCTGGCTATACAGACATACCTTTTCCCCTGCTGAAATGCAGCCACTTCTGGGGTGGGGCATTATAATATGGGGCCATGAGAAGCTGCAGCCACCTCTGGTGTAGGGCGTTATATGGGGCCATGAGAAGATGCAGCCAGCTCTGAGGCACAGGGCTAGGTGTACAGGGACCCTTCCCCCGGTGCTGAGGTGTGGGGCGCAGCACGGGGGCAGGATAGGCTGCTGAGTTCAGCTAGCAATGTAACAGCTCATTTCTGCCCCTCCCCTGCACAGGGTCATTAGCTCAGAGTCTGCACCGCTACCAGAGGGCGCTGCCCAAACCCATCCCAGGATGCCCCGTGAGCCCAGACCCTCCCCCCTTACCGAGTCTGTCCGAATGGGGTTCCATAGGGCAACCCCCCTGGGAACGGTGCCCGGTACCAGGCGTTACAGGGCAAATACTGCCCAGGCCCAGTGGAATTAGTAATTCATGGCAAATGCAAGATTTGGAGAGGGGCCGGGTGGCTGAGAGCAGCGGGGACAGACAGACCCCCCTGAATTCACCCATTGGGAACCAGGCCCAGTTTCCCAACTGCTCCAGGCTGAGACACTCCCTGCACCTCACCCACTGGACCTACGGCTCCTCCCCCTGATCCCCTTTCTGAAACGTGGCCCAGAAAACCCTCCAAACACCCAGACCCAGACGCCCCCGCCCCCATCAACCTGCCGGGACCAAGCCCAGGTCCCATCAACTCCAGTCATGCCAGCTGCTCCAGAGCCCCCCGAATGGGGGACTCAACCCCCCCCAAGAGCCCCACCAGCACTCCCAGCCCCCCGTCCCCCACCCCTCTGCTATCACGGACCAAACCATCTCACTAGCCCAGGGGTGATTCATCTGCTGCGAGGCAGGGCTGGGCTGGCTGCCTGCAGGGAGAAAACCCTTGCACAATTCCAGGCATCTGGAATAGATCCGGGTGACAGGGGTTGGAAAATCAGCTGACAGATGCTGAGGCCCCAAGGGCTAAGGTCAGACTAGGGTACACAAATGGGGGGAGAAGGGACCACAGAGTTTAGTTCACCTCTGGATTTGGCCCTGGAGCGACTGCGGCTGGACTCCTGCATCCGGTTTTGGTGCCCCCGGCTAGGGATGTGACTAGTGGACTATTGAATCGGCCAGT